AGTTCCCTGGAGAGCCAAGGGGGCTGCTGTGCTCTTTTGCTGCCTTCCCTCCGAGACGGGATGGACTTTGCTTGCACATCCAGGACTGCTCTCTTGAGGAGTAAACACTCATCCTGAACTCCCCTCCCATTTGGGTTGTGGCCCTTCAGGGCCTCCCTGACAAGCCTCCTGAGCTTGTCAAAGTCAGCTTTCCTGAAGTCGAGGACTTCTGTATTACTGACCGACTTGCCAGCTTTACGGTGGATGGTGAAGTTGATCAGCTCGTGGTCACTGTCACCCAGCTTCCCATTGATCACTAGGTCGCTGATTAGGTCATCCCCAGTTGCCAGTACCAGGTCGAGCAGCGCTTTAATTCTCGTTGGCCCATCGACTTCCTGTGTCAGATAGAGGTCATCCACGCACGAGAAAAAGCTTTGCGACCGCTCGGATTTGGCTGAGCGCTCCTCCCACAAGATGTCTGGGTAGTTAAAGTCTCCCATGACAACCATGCACCGGGAGCATGTGGCCTCAGCCAATTCCCTGGCATAATCCTGGTCAAGGTCTTGACCCTGGGTAGGGGGTCTGTAGTAGACTCCCACCATAGTATCCCCTGTGCCGTGTTCCCCACAGATTTTAACCCAGAGGGTCTCAAGTCTTCCACCATGGGTGCCAATGTCGTCTTGCAGGGATGCGTAGCTTTCCTTGACATAGAGAGCTACGCCTCCACCCCTTTTGTCCACTCGATCCCTCCTGTACAGGGTATAGCTGTCTATCCCCATCATCCAGTCCTGGGTGGAGTCCCCCCAGGTCTCCATTATCCCTGAGACATCGAAGTTATTTGCGTTTAGCAGGAGGACAAGTTCCTCCTGTTTATTCCCCAGGCTCCTGGCATTTGTGTAAAGGCACACAAGCATTCCCTTGGGAGCCCTAGCCTTGCCTAGAGTTTGTTCCAGGGCTGGGGCAGGGGTGGGATCCCTTAAATGCTTTGGCCTGCTGGCTTTGCAAGGGTTGCTCAGCGGGCCAGCAGTGGCAGTGGTACCCCCGTTCCCCAGCGGGCTTAGTCTAAAGCCTGGTGGAGCAGGTCAGCCAGTCTGGCTGAGAAGAGCCTCCTTCCCAGCAGAAAGAGGTGGAGGCCATCCCTTCCCAGCAGCTCACTGCCTTTCTCACCAAAGAGCGGACTGTGGTCATGGAAGCCAAAGCCTTCCCGATGACACCAGTGCCGCAGCCTTTGGTTCACTACCTGGATCCTCCTCTCCCTCCTCAGCTTGTAGCCCAAGACTGGGAGGATTGAAGAAAACACCACCTGCGCCTCCAGACCCTTTAGCCCCACTCCCAAATCCCTGTACCGCCTTGTGACCTAGCTGGGAGTGCTTCAAGCCGTGTCATCGGTGCCCACATGGATAAGAAGCATGGGGTAGTGGTCAGTGGGCTGGAGGAGCTTGGGGATCTTCTCCGCAATGTCTCGGATACTGGCTCCAAGGAAGCAGCAGCAGATGTGCAATCCCCTGCGGCTGGAAGCCCTGGACAGGAGGGGGCTCAGTGCTGGTTCCTGCTAGGGACCAGGGAGAAGAGCAGCCCAGAGCTGGTGGGAGCCTGCCCAGCTGCCCCCGAACTCTCTGCTGCATCTGTGGGGCCGGGGGAAGCCTGCAGGGCCAGGACACTGGCATTGCAGTGAGAGAAGAGTTTGGGGCATTTCGGGTCCAGTGCAGTCAAGTTTAATTTGGGGGATGATACAACCTTGTCCTCCCTCCTGGGAGATGAAAGCAGAAGGAACCTGCAGCAAATGTGGCAAAGGCAGAGTCCCCTGCGCCCCAGCACTGCCTAGAGCAACCTGCAAGGGTGTATGGACATGGGGAGGGGAAAGAGAAGGCAGGGCCAGGCGTGCCAGGTGTGCTCACTGGGGCCCTGTGTGACACTTCCCCTCTCTGGGGGCTGATCCTGGGGGCTGGGGCTGTGAGGTGTGAGCAGAGCTGACAGTTTGGGCTGGCACAGCAGGGCAGCTGCCCTGACAAGAGATCCTGGCCAGGAAAGTCCAAGCCCCTTCATCTCAGAGTAGATCTTTATTGTGACAGCTGCAGTACATACGTCTTCTCTTTCTCCTCCTTCATCAGTCAACAGCCAGAAATGCACTGTGTTTGGGCCCCACCACAGGCTGGATGATAGGGCTCCCTGGGCCAGATTCAGTCCGCAGACTGTACCTTTGACAGCCTTGTACTAAAACCGAAAGAAATGCAACGTGAGTGGCAGCTGGGATTTATCATTGCTAGCTTGTTTAGTGAGATCAGGATTTAGCTGACACTGAGCACAGTTAAGAAACCAGCTCTCAAGCTGTTCCGGGCCATGTCTGCATGACAAACATCTACCGAAGACAACTGTGAGGGCAGACCAAGCCCATTCAGGGCAGCTGGTGTGACAAAAGCAGCAGAAAGCTCAGTGTTGCCAGTCCTTCCAAGCACCATTTTGCCATACGGATGGCAAGCCGTCAGCAGACAGCGCAAGGCAGACCCCCTACTAAGGTTGTTAACAATCTCACCAGGAAGTTACCAGGTTTTACATGTAGGAAACAGTTACAGGAGCCTTAATACTGCCATTTTACCACTAGGAACCTCCCAAAGTCATTTAATCCAGTGAAAAAAATCACAAAATTGGCAACCCAGCAGGGCTGTAGCTAAGGGACCTCCTGACCCCCTCAATGCTGCTACTGTAAGGAAAGCAACAGCAGCCTTCCAAGTGTGGACTAAGTCTCAGGGGGCATATCCATGTAGCACAGTCTCCTTTCCCACTCCCCTAGCTGCACCAGGTACCAAGCATTTTCTGCATCTGCCTCAGGCACACCAGACATGTATGTGCACATGTGCCAGTGCATTCTGGAGCACTGGAGATGGGGACTTCAAGGTGCCTCCAGAGGGAGCAGACCATCCCCAGCTAGCACACAGGACCGTAGTGCAATTATATTTCTCTAGCTCTGAGCTGAGAGGAGGTAGCTAGGCATAAACAAGGGATCCCATCTACACCAAAAACACTCTGAGCCACAACAGTGAAAGGAATGCACCAGCCTAAGCCACCAGCAAGAGAAACCCATGGCTAGTACAAGGGGGCCACTGCTCAAAAAGTCTGCAGGTTTGAAGTCCAGAAATAATTCTCATGACCACTCAGGATAATCTCCTACATCATATGGGTCAGAAAAACCTACTCTGTGACCCTGGCAATGAACCCATATATGCCAGCTGAGCCAGAGTAGTACTTTGGGAGAGAGAGATGCTAAGCCAGGCCTTGAGTAACAGATATTCCATAACATCCCCAGATTCCAGGGGCCAATTCCTCTTATTGCCATGGGACAGATAACACAAGACACATTCATGCTGACACAAGACACGATTAGGACCAACCGTAGCACTCACTGTTTGCAAATGCCAAAAAGACCATCACGCAGACAGAGCTTAAGTATCAGCAGGCAGATTTACAGAGGCACAAGATTTACAGAGGTACAAAATGCAGCTAGGCACTTGACGCTTGCCTGCTGAAAGTGAGTGGCACATTTATGCATCTGTACCTGGCCTTACAGACCCACTGTCAGCTGAACACGGTTAACTGGTAACCGTTCTCAAGTCCACAGTGTGTGTTCTTCCCATGAACGATGCATGCCCCTGGTAGCTGGGGGAGCACGGCAGTGGTGGGAATGTGCACCTGCATGCACCCCACCATGCATTGCCCCTGGTTCTCCCCTGGGATGAGGCTACTGATGGTGGCCTCCAGGTAACAGCATGGGAAGAAATTAATTTGGTGCAATAGTGCTCAACCTATGGCCCAGCCTATGGATCAGATCCAGACCCAAAATGACTGGATCTGGCCCATGGCTTGGGGGATCATTAACAAGCAGCTCAGCCCTATGCATCCCTTTCTTAGCCTGTGCCATGCTGCTGACCCCCTTTGCAACTCTCCCTGCTCTCTGCCTCTCCCTTCCCCTACAACAGGTGATGCTTACCTTCTCCCTCTCTTCCTCCTGCAAAGTTGGAAATAATCAGATGCCATTGCCATTGCTTCCTGTTTGGAGCTTCCAATCCCTTTTCATCAT